TTTTTTTTTTTAATACCGAAATTGCACTTTTATTGACAGGGCCCAGTGCCCAAGGCAAATTACATCATCAAGACGGTCAAAGATTATTGTTTTTAAGATGAATGGTCTGGTTGTTGTTTTTTGAGAATGGAAAAAAGAACTGGATAGTTCCGAAAAGTTGCTGATTGTTCCGTTGTAAAAAAAAAAGAAAAAAGAAGAAAAAAAAAAAGTTGCTGATCTCATAGTCGGAAACACTGTTTGCACTGGTTGCTCGTGTTGGGACACCAAAAAAAGGAAAAAAAAATAAAAAAAGCACACCAGATGGTGAAGTCCCTTCTGTCTAGGAACTTTGTAGGAAGTAATCAATGATGCTGTCTTAGGTTCTCCTGGCCGGTTCCAGTAATATAATAGATCTCCATTTGAAAAACAATTTGCACTGGTTGCTCGTGTTGGGACACCAAGAAAAGGGGAAAAAAAGCACACCAGATGGTGAAGTCCTTCCCGTCTAGGAAGTAATCAATGCCGCTTTCTTAGGTTCTCTTGGCCAGTTCCAGCAATATAGCAGATCTCCTTTTTGAGGGCATACTCTAGGAGACCTGCTCTAGGAAAAACAGGAAGGACACAGTCTCGACCTGCTCTAGGAATGTGATTATACGGGCCGAGGGTCACACAGCACGATGCATAAAGATCCATCTCTTTTTCCTGTTTTTTTTTTTTCCGGACGAGAGCTGCCCAGTGCCCAGCAAACGTCGAATTCTTTTTTTTTTTGTTTCCAGAAAGAAACAGGTCTAAAAGAAATACGCAATTGCGGGGACCTCCAGAGGCTCCTGCAAAATACGTAACCCTGCAGCTGTCCAAGCCGCTGACATTTACTTGCCCATTTGCGTGAAAACACAAAATACGTAGCCCTTGTGACCCAAAAAATCACCTACAATTTATGATTTTATGAAAATGCGTGCTAGTGTGAGTATGCCCTGAAAAACAACACCATAAACGAAAGGAGGATTAGGATTCTGCATTAGGTGTACACGACTGGGACTTCCCAGGAGGTCACCGTTCCCAATGCTATTCCAGCCCAACGGTGCTCGGCTTTCGAGTCCCGGATGGGATCGGGCTCATTAGCTGTGGTATGATCATAGTCTTCCTCAATTTGAGGCCTGGCTTCCTTTTTCCATTTACGTTTTTGTGTGTCAGCGGACTGCTGTATTTTTCCGTGTTTTTGCGGCACTTGCAACTTGCCGGCTGAAGGGGTTTGCTTCTGCCTACCTCGTTGTCCTCCATCTCGGGAATCTCGCCTCGGCGTAATTTGACCGTTGACGGCTGGCCATAATTTGAAAGCAGCTATGGACATGGATCGGTCAGATCACAAAGGGCTTTAAATATGGCACAGCAAAAGATGGAGTTCGGGGTGGATATGTTCACCAGGCTAACAGCCGCATGCTTCAAGCAGTGCATTGGAAGATCCCTTAAGCAATATGAGCTCAATATTGGGGAGAACAGCTGTAAGGGTGAGGCAATAAGGCACCGAATGACAAGCAATAGCAAGGCACATAGGCTGGAGGGCATGGGAGAGGCAGGTGGGCAGCCAAACGGAAAGCCAAGCAGTCGGGCAGCATGATCAGCAGCAACGCGAGAAGGCAACAACACAGAGAGATGCAGGGGGGTGAGAAACAGATGGGTTAGCCAGGCAGCGAGGCAAGCTAACGAACAGGAGGGCAGCACTGACGCAAAAACGCAATGCAAGTGGAAGAGCAGTCAGGCAGTAATGCAGCGCCACACAAATCGGCCTCCTCACACAAAAACAGACCAAAGCAGGCCATCACACACATGCACACCGCACAGAACTCTACAGACTGTAATGTTCATACCACCATGGGAGCCAGGGAGCCACTTCAACAAATGTCTGTCATCATCTAGGAAACACACAGACACAAGCATCCTGAAAACTGCAGCCTTCCTAGTAGTGTTGCAGGCACCAACTATTTGGCACACGTTAAAGGTACTGCACTTAGGCACTCAGAAACACACGGGAAAAGGCCACACTATGCGACAAGTGGACAGCAACCCAAAGAAAACACTTATAGGAAGAGCCAGGAAGATGTGTGTGTGTGTGTGTGTGTGTGTGTGTGTGTGTGTGTGCGTGTGTGTGTGTGTGTTG